TATTGCTCTCGTGGTACTTTGATGTCATACTTCGATCAGTCTGCATAGTGCCGCTTCAAGTCGAACACACCTATTATCTCTTCTAGGGAAATATTAAGTGAATTTGCTTTTAAATAATAAACTTAAAATATAATCAAATAATACAAATATTAAGGACATACTTTAACAACTGAATGCACAAAGGTAGGAGAGACCATGCTACATTGTGAACAGAAACAAATGAGGGAAACTGTTAGGCAAGACTAAATGATTTGTGTACAGCTTGTTGTGAATGGCATATCTCTAACAGAACAGAAATCCATAATATTGGCAGTAGGCAGGGTGCAGACACTGCTGATGGACTGTGATGAGACACAGGTGTGGGGATGATCGTGGACCAGGGGAGGATTTGGGTGTCTTAGGACATCACAGGCTGGTCTGTCCTAAGGTATTGGGTGAAGAAAAGAAACAGAGTAAGAGCATTTTATGTAACAATGTACACAAAAAGAGCATCACATCATATAAATATGAAATAATCGACTTGATAGTTCCCCAAAAATGGTGCAGTTTTGGGCACCACTGATTTCCATTTGTAGGGAAAAAAATTATTTGGGTGGAAAAATACTATGGAACTGCTTGCTTACAAATATTCTTTAAAATATCTTCCATATATTCAATATTTTTGTGTTCACCAGAACAAAGAAATTCATACAGGTTTGGAACAACATGAGGGTGAGTAAATGACTAACACTTTAATCAGTGACACCGATTTACATTGTTATAAATAGTGTCATATTTTTACAATAACTGTATCGTTGTTGTTTTTTTGTTGTAATTGTTTTTTGCCTTTTTTCAATTTATAAAATTGTCATTGTGTGAGTATCGTCAGTGTTTTATATAAAACATACATAGAATTCAATGTACAAAATAAACCGTGATTGTTAATAAAACTACTAAAGATTCAAAAGCAATGAGTAATTTTCTGTCTTGTGTTGCTGGATTAACATTAATGACACAGATAATAACCTTTCATGATGGAGAAGAACGGCAAAAAAACTAAACAAAAAAAATAATAATTTGGGAGCGTAACCCTACCACTGCATTGCTAAACACGATCATGAGACACAACATGTGAATGTTCGTCCTGCTGGGACAGGAGCATTAATGCAAACCCCTTTGTGGTGCCGTTTTTTTTTTGCATATGCTTACCAACGCAACATCATTGCCATTTAAACCAATGCAGATATTCTGGAAAACGAAAGAACACCACGGGGAACACAAATCAGATCTGAACAACTGCCATACACAGTGAGGACAGTCCATTTTAGATCGGATTAGAATCAGATACACGATTAGATAAATAATCAGATTTGGGCTGGCAATCTGAACATAGCCAATGAGACCACGGTTTTGGGGCATGAAGTATTTATTAGTCCAAATACCATTTTTGTAGTAATTTTTCATTAAATCATACTTTACTTACATACTTTACACAAGGTGTGTAAAGACACTGTGTTCATATTTATTGATACATTTCCATAAATCTATAATTTCACTGTTAGTACGGAAGTGCCTATAGTTGCAGAAACACCAAATATAAACAAGGCATTGGATCACATCTCTCTCTGAAGTGAAACAGGTTGAAAAGATCAGACAAGTATAGGCTGTGAACAATGATTTGAAAATATTACATATTAGCGTGTGAAATTTACTGCAATGCAGCAGCGAGACACTTAAACACATACAGGTTAATTTGTTTGTCAAGTATATTTGTGAAAGCTGACAATGAACAAATATGGACCAATATTATTTTTGCAGACTACCATTATTTCAACACCAACAAGTAACCAAGAAAAAAGTGCCCTGATTATGTGTCCAAATTTAAGAGACATACAGAAAGCAGGTTTGTAAACAACACTGCTGACATTTTTTTTTGGCTCCGCATTTAGACAAATAATCTCTTAAGTAAAAATGTGTAGTGGGAATCAGAGGAAGGATTACTAAAAGAGGCAGACTAATGCAGGCTTACTTTACAGTGCAAGATGTATCTCTATTGATAAAACATTTAAGAATGATGAAGGTCACAGAGTATGGCGGCCCAAACCTGCAGAAATTAAAATATATTAGGTTACATAATTAATGTATGTATTTATTTATAAATGCATTTGTGTTTTTTATATTTATTGCTAAATACATAAATATATATTTATTTATGTGTTTATTTCCAAATGTATTCATTGTTTTTTTTTTTACTTTTCCGTATGCTCACAATTCTTTAGGGAGTCTTTTCTCTGTGATTACAAAATGAACACATTTTGAGTGTTTTTAGAGGCATCATCAACCTAGAATCTCATCGACGACGTTGATGGTTCTGGGCTTAATGACGAAACTGTCAGGTTAAGTAGTTACATTCAGCCCCTATAAAATAATTTGACAATGTGAATCTGAGAAAATATCTTGGAACTTGTGTGTGATCTCTCAACCAATGAATCACCGGAGCTCTGCCAGGACTGCCTTTAGGGCTGGGCAAAAAAAAAAAAGATGCTAAAAAAAGATACTATATCGATTCTCAAAAGCTGTGGATCAAAATTTTCTGGTATTTATTTCAGCAAACATATTACACAAGATTTGATTAACATGAATCTTATCATTAGTCTTAATCCGTGTATCATTCGATCATTCCTTTTTTTATTTAATATTGAAAGTAGAAAAATGAGAAAATGGCTCCTTTTTCGTTTTTTTTCCAAAAAACGAAAAACGAGAATTCAGCTTAAATTTTAGTTTTTCGATGGGTGGAAAAATTAATAAACAGCTTGAATATTCGATTTGAAGTTTGGTTTAACGTTTTAAAGGAATAATCACAATTGTTTTCTTTTTAATTTGAACAGTAAACCTCCGTTGTGCAGCACTTTGTTTGCCAAAAAATAAAAGGGTTTAATTTTCATTTTATTAGGATAAATTAATGTTTTATGCCTTCATTTGATTACTAGAAAACTTAAGAAAAACATTTTATAGATCCCTATTAGTGGCTCTTTATTTGTTTTTATTAACTCACCATTTGTAAACTGATGTTTGCGGTTCATTTTTAGAAATATCAATAGCATTTGTATTAAAACTATATTCACTGAATTGAATCAAAAAATTGAGAATTGAATCAAGAATTGAATTGAATCAAATCGAGAGTTTGTGAATCAGAATGTAACTGAATCTGGACATCTGTATGGATACCCAGCCCTAACTCCCTCATTTACATGTTGCACACAGAAAAATAAAAATAAATAAACAAATCTGTAAATAAATACATGGGAATAAATACATACAAAATAAATAAATAACCACATGAAACAAAAACATTGAAAAATAAATGCATAATGCATAAATGTAATAAATATAAAAATAAATGAAAGAATAATTAAAAGTTAGAAAGGATAAAAATAAATTTAAAAATTACCGAAAACACAAATGAAAGTAGTAATAAAAAAAATGAGTCAGGATTAAATTGTATAACAAATGAATTATATTCGTTTTATCAAGTACTTCTTTATTTTCCTATTGTTACATGTATTTAATTAACTACATATTTATTTATTTTTAATTTCTGCATGTTTGGGCCTCCATAGAGTGAGCTTCTGCATGAAATGTACAGCTGTTGTTAAAAGCAGTTGAAACTTCATTAAATGCTACAAAGATAATTGTGAGTGCATTATTCGGTCAGGTGCTTCTGCTGTGTAATGCACTTGAAATGTTTTTTCCCCAGTGAATAACTTCATATTGGGGATGCAAGTAAAAACTATTTCAACAATTAATTAATTCTTCCATTATTTATTTGATTAATTGGACAAAAAAACAATTATTTTGTGTATTTTATTAAAGTGTCGGCTATTCTGCACATTAAGTACAAAAGAGTTAAAATGTAAACATTACATTTTGGGGGAAAAAATAAACAACCCCCCCACCCGGCAAAGTCATGATGTGGAATAACATGCTTTTTCAATAAACAGAAGTAATATAGCGGTTATCAAATTGATCAGAAAAATAATTAAAATGACTAGTTGCAGCTTAAAACAAGCCATTCACTGACCAACAACAGAATCTTTAACAATTCATTACCTTGTCCGAGTGTGATAAGAGGTTCAATGGAGGATGGAGGAGAGAGGGTCCTCACCAGGTCAGGTTTCCACAGCTGGTGCAGCCAAAGCAGCAGAATCAAGGAAACTTGAGAAAAAGAAATCATGTCCCAGACACATCACTCATGTATCAAAGGAATAGATATACTACACAGTTAAAAAAAAAAATTGTAGAACCTAAATCTTACAGTGGATTTGTGGAGAAGCAATATATTAAACAAGCGGTTTCCAACAAGGTGCCCACATTGAGTCTGTGAGTTGCCATTGTAAAAATCACTCCATCCAACTTGCCATCAGACAACCACTGTGAATCAGGGCTCAAGACTGTATTACCTGTTACAGGAATAATGCAGTATAATTACAGAATTATTTTTGTTATGAAGCTATGGTAGTTTTTGCAGTTATATCCATACTAAATGTGTTTAGGTTACTGTATTTCATGAATTCCAGACTTTTATAGAAAACAGTTTGTTTCTTCTTTTACAAATAAATACAAGTAGCAAACAAGTAGCCCTTGACATTATGTCTTTGAGGTAACCCGTAAAAAATAAAAAAAACTGTACTAAGCAATATTAAAACATAGCAATATTTATAACCTCTCTAAACATGAGCACATTGGGTTCCCTGTATCTAGCTCAGGAAAAATGATAATAGATAAATAAAATGGGAAAAAAAAGAAAAAAAAAAAGATTGATTATCACGTGACCGTAGGCTACATATATGCGATGACCGTTGTAATTTGTATCAGATGACCGTTGTGATTTCCTCAGCCTACTGTACTCTCAACATTTCTGGATAATTTTTCCCACATTAATAACCTGTAAATAGCACCAGTTGTATATATTACGTTCCTGTTCATTCATTACACGTCTGTTTCTACTACTGTTGTTTTTATAAGTTCATTACTAAGCGTCTTTAAGTTTGTTTGTACTTTGTCGTCAGTTCGTCAAGTTGTTGGTAAGTAACTTTGACAGTTATATGGATTAATCAACCTTCTGATATCTTTAATTATATTCGAGATAAGAATCATTATACATGTACACACAGACACACACTAAATATTAAAGTTACAAATACAAACAACCACACTAAAACTAAATGCCGAAATGTTAAGGCCGCGTTTTTTTCCTCGCGAAACAGCTGACTGACGGCATCTCATTCACTTGAACGCCATTCCGACCGGCTCCAATCACAGGTCGGGCGGGAAAATCTGAAGCGTTGCTCTGCTCCCTGTTTGCACATTCTTTTCTTGTACATTCCTGCTCATCTTAATATTTATTAAGTCTACAGTATACTGTCCTGCGCATAAAAAAAAAATAAAAAAAAATCCATAGCTATATTTATATTTGTCTAATTGTATTGTATGGTGTTACACTTCATAAAACAGGAAAAAGTTAGAATTAGCAGGAAATCTGACTCTGTTGCGATTGAACAGGACGTCATGTACATGAATACCTATTTAATTACAAATGATCTAAATAACATGGTGAAATGAACGTTGCCGTTTCAGGGTTGCCAGGATACATAAAAAAAGAAACGCCCAATTGCTACTAAAAACTACCGCTGGAAAACCGCGGACTTGGCAACACTGCTAAGCTGTGAGGGGGAAACAGGGAAACTGAATTCGCCGGAACACTGGCTCCAATCACAGGTCGGGCGGGAAAATCTTAAGCGTTGCTCTGCTCAATACTTATTGGTTTAGGCCTATCTGCACTGAGGAAAATAACGTACACATTTAAAATGTTGCTATACTTATCACTTGAGCTGAATCTAAAATCGCCACTTTGTACCCTCAAATAGGATACTTTTTGAGGGGACATCCATTTGTAGTGATGTCCAAAACCTGAGTGGACGCTGTCGAGTGCACTCATTCACGCACCCGCAATAACAAGTAACGTTAAGATGTACACTCAACGGCTGTCCGAAATCCCTCACTCGTTTCCAGTCATTCCTTCAAGTTAACTGTATTATTGGACGTTATAAGGGGCTATTTCAGATTGGTTTAGACCCACCAGCTCTGAGAAATGTAACGCAAGTTAACCATGAACAGAGGCTCCGAGCTAACGTAATAACAGCGGCCCGGATCAAGTTTCACAAGAACTAAACATAACTTATATGATAGCCATTATGTAAGAGCCACTATTCCTTACCATGCACAGTTAACAGGTGTTATGATTACCTTTGTGCCGATGACACCCTGGCAACAGCACAAGCGCAGGCCCCGTTTCCAGCTGGTATTAACATGCATTTTCGTGAATCACAAAAGGGGCCTGTTCAGTGATAACAGTTGAACAAACTCAAGGTTACGGGATTTCGTTTCAAGTTTATCAAACCATTCAGGCTTCGCTTGTACCATGACGCTGATCAATTTTCTCCGTCGAATAGGGCTTTCTTGCAGCGCGACATCAGCGCCGAACAGCCAATCGCATGCCTTGAAACAGAGGAAACCTAATTAAAATCTCGCGAGACTAAGCACCATTCAACTCTCACCTGAAGATTAGATTGACATCAAGTACACTGCCGTTATTGTTACAAAAGATTTCTATTTTAAATAAATGCTGTTCTTTTAAACTTTTTATTCATCAAAGAATCCTGAAAAATCCTGTATTTTGGATCAAATAAATCCAAACTTTAAGAGCAGAACAGACTTTAAAAAAAAAACACACACATTACAAACCCTACTGATGGCAAACTTTTGAACAGCAGTGTACATAAATGCATTTAGACAGCAAGAAAAAGTCTTGCTAGACCAAGACTGCAATTAATCAAAAATGCAGTAAAAACTGAAAAGGTGAAAACTTCATTACATAAATAAATACGTATATACATAAAGAAAGAAAGCAAAAAGAAAGTAAACATGGTTTTCTATTTTAATTTTTTAAAATGCTATTTATTCCTGGGATGCAAAGCTGTATTTTCAGCATCATTACTCCAGTTTTCAGTGTCACATGATATGACACTTAAGACTGGAGTAATGATGCTGAAAAATCAGCTTTGCATCACAGAAATAAATTACATCATAAAGTATATAAAAATAGATACCCATTATTTTAATTTCTAATATTTCACATTACCTTTTTTCCTGTATTTTGGATCAAATAAATGCAAACTTTAAGAGCAGAACAGACTTTTAAAAAAAAACACACACATTACAAACCCTACTGATGGCAAACTTTTGAACAGCAGTGTACATAAATACATTTAGACAGCAAGAAAAAGTCTTGCTAGACCAAGACTGCAATTAATCAAAAATGCAGTAAAAACTGAAAAGGTGAAAACTTCATTACATAAATAAATACGTATATACATAAAGAAAGAAAGCAAAAAGAAAGTAAACACGGTTTTCTATTTTAATATTTTAAAATGCTATTTATTCCTGGGATGCAAAGCTGTATTTTCAGCATCATTACTCCAGTTTTCAGTGTCACATGATTCTTTGGAAATCATTTTAATACGCTGATTTGATGCTCATACACAAAATTGTGAAAAAATTTACAATGAATATATATAGTGAAAATGTAACAATTTTGTTTTTAGTGTACTTTCATCAAATAAACAGCCTTTAGTCATACGATTTCTTTCAAAAACATGAAAATCTTACCAGTACCAAACTTTCGTGTGTGTGTAAATGTATAATTTTATGTGAGCAGATCTCTTAGGTGCAACTGATGATGCTTTAAAGAACATAAGGTGATGAAATGAGAATTAAATCTATATTTAAATTATGGAAGATTGTCAATCTTTGATTTAAATCATGTACTGTATTGTACTGGAAACTATTTATATAACCATAAAATGCATCAGCACAAGTGAAAATTTTGATAAAATGTAAACATTTAAAAAAAAATTTTAAATATAGTTATTTCAATTTCAGCATTTAACTCTGTCCTTTGTTTAATTTGACTACAGAAAGTTATCTATTACCATCCGTCAACCAACTAAAGGTATGTACATTAATTATGTTAATGCACATGACTTGGTAGGCCAGTAAACAAACAACAAATCAGGGGTTTGTTTGTATTAAGGTCTTAATTCTATGGCTTCAAATGAACCATCCTATTGGACATTGAGAAGAAAAGCAAAGGACAAGGTGGATCAACAACTGCAGACAATACATGCAACAACTTGGGGGAAGGAGTTGGGTTGCATGCAGAGTAACACCTGTCAAGGTCAAAATGATGATGAAGAAACATTTATGGACTGTCTCTCTCATGTTGATATATGATTTGAAATATTGTGATTAACATAGTACTACTTAACTAGCCTACTTGCCGTCTTAACTTGTTTGGCTTCATTACCCATTGTCATACTGGTGAATCTGAGGGCGAGATATGCCTAACGTCATATTTTCTTGTCTTTTCACCACACTGGATGCGATGGCTGCACCGCACACAACAGCTGATGTCAACTGGACGCAACAAAGTGAACATTGCAAATTCAATTGTCTTTGTTCTATTTGCTTTTGTCACATTGCGCCGCTGGTGTCTGGTATAGACAAGTTGTTTTGGTATTTGTGAATCTTAAGTATATTCACCATCTGCATCACTGGCAGTATTTTCACAAACTTGTAACTTAACGTTACTTGTTCAGAACAGAACCATGCAACATTCATTCATATTTCTACATGTCTCCCTCCAATACAACTCTGATTGTTCAATCACACCATCTAGTGGTCTGTTATTGATACAACCACAACTGCAACAACTGATAACGGAGCGCTCAAGCAGGTACTGCCAGTCATGTTGATGAGGTAATTAAAATATGTCAAATTAATATTTTGCATTCAATTATTTACTTATCAGGCAATGATATACAGAAAAATTATGCAGTGTAGTCTTTTTCACCCTGTGGAGGTTTCTTTTGCAAAATAATCTGCTGACTGTACACCATCTCTCAGCCTTGCCGCGCCCGCCCCCCAGTTTGGGAACCACTGGCTTAAGGCCATTTGTGAGATTTCAAACATCATGCACGCAGTAACCAGCATTACCCTGACC